ATGCCTAAATGTGAAATTGACTGTTTGGCATTTGGAGGGGTTTAAGGTAAGACCGTTTTCCTTGGACCACTGGCTGATTTCTGACAGAAAGCCATTAAGTTAAGAGCAGTCACTTTGACATTTGACAGGCAAAGATACTGTCAGTTCGTCAGCATATTTGACAAAATTCATGTCATTTAAAGATGGTAAGTCATGTAGAAAGAAAGAAAGAAAAGAGAAGTGGGGAGAGTACAGCACCTTGGGGGACACCAGCTTCAGTGAGCACAGCAGAGGAGGATTTACCTTTGTATACGGTGTACTGCATTCTGTTAGAGAAGTAGGAATGCAACCAGTTAGTGACCCAGGACTCAGTTTTTGTCATAGAGAGCTTATTTAGCAAGAGACATCGTTCCCTAAGTGAAATCAGTTCGTAATCTAACTTGAAACCAATCGAATTCCCAAGTGCCAGCATTTGAAAACACAGTCATTTATTTACCTGAGAGCCAAGCTGATTTCAAGGTGAAGAAAGTGAATGCTGTAAGACACCTATGACTAATAATCAGTACCAGTAGTTGGAAATAACTCATTTCAAGCACATCTAGGTTTGAAGACTCTTTGAAATCTCTTCTCATATCGAAAATTTAAATTTGATTTACTGTTTAGAATAGAACAGAAAAAAGGAAGTTTATTTCGTCTTTAACTGTAAATGAAATGTCAATAAAAAAATATGGGTCTCTGATTAATAACAAGACATTTACTGTATTGCTGCTAGGGTCATTTCATTTTTGTCATTATTTCATAATATCTTATTAACTAGCCATTCGTTATAGATTGAACAAAAACAGAAAACAATAGATATCATGCATATATATGCGGGTGTTTTATATCATTTCAAAGACATTTTTAGATATGAACTCTTCATTGTATATGAATGACTTGGTTTGTGCTATCAATTAACAATAAGTGGACTGAACATTCGAGTACAGTTTCATAAAACTAAGTCATCTGAGAATGGGTATGATTATTATTATTCCCTTGGGTTACTAGTGGAACATAGGGCTTCAACTACACATCTCCACTTGCTTCTGTCTTCTGCTGTACTTTTCACTTGCATCCATGTTAGTCAATACTGTTTCAACTCCTCTTCACACGATCTCCTCCATGTCACCCTTGCACTGACGTCCCACTCGCCGCTTCCCTTTCGGGTTCCACTCGAGCACTGGCCTGACGCGCGATGTCACCCAGCGAGTGGCCTCCTCAGCCAGTGAGTGTCCAATCCATCTCCACTTTCTCCTGCATATTTGTTGGCCGATTGCTTCTTGTTTCTTTTGTTTCTTCCCATAGTTTCTTGTTGGTGATTCTTTCCGGCCATCTGATCTTCAGTATAGAGCCAGCGAAGACAGTTAGTTGTTGATAAAGGTCTGCAACAGGCTGTTGGAAATACTCATTCTTTGTGACCCGCCGTCAAGTTTCTGATCCATCCGTATAGAAGAACTGACTGACTTGACTGAGTTTGTATTGAAAATCCGAATTTTGTTGTTGATGTTGAGGAGTGACAGCGGAAGATTTCCAGATTGGTTTCAGGTTGATGAATGTGTTTCTCGCCTTCCTGATTCTCGATTTGACGTCCTCGTGAGAATGGATATTACTCACAGTTAAATCGATGGAAAAGAGATGGATTAGAGCTGACACAGTATTGGACAGTATTGTATCACAAAACCTTGAGCCTAAGACTACTTTCGTATTCTGGTAATCTGTCCATTATTCCTTATTATCTCGCATTATGTTCTCCAAACTTCTTTGAAGGCTATAAATAGATTTAGTGATGTGAATCTGCCACAAGTAAAAGAGAAGGTCACTGACAGACATTTAAGTTAGTGCATGAGATTGTTTGAAGACACGTTTCGCATGTGCCAGTTTACGCCGTCTCTGGTGTACTGCTCATCATTACACTCCATCATCCTTTATAACTAGCTGTCAGACATGGCCGTTGAGAGTGGAAGACATGAAAAGCCTGTCTAGCTGTCTTTGATCATAGGTGCTTGCGTTCTATTTTCCGTGTGAAGTGGTATAATAAGGTGAGCAATATTGAGGTGAAGCTTCGGTCGAGTGCTAGGTAAGGAGGGGAAATCAATAGGCGAGGCTGTGAAGTTACATAGACTTAGATGGTTAGGACATGTGTTACGCATGCCTAGCCGTCTTCTTCCTCGACGCGCAATGTTACCTAACATAGGATTGATCAAGTTGGAAAAGAGCCAGTGGTGGTCATACCAAAACACGGCTTCATCAGTCAATGAAATCCACAACAGTTCTGTCTGTCTGGATTCAACATTGAACTTGGCACCGAAGTGCAGCAGTTCGAGTTGCCACGTTCCAAAAAGCACACAAAGGTAGACAAGAAAATGAGTGAAGAGAATCAATAGAGTTTTGATAAGTATAAGAGTGAAACAGAATGAGTAATAGTAGAAAGGAATATGAAAGATTACAGAGACTTAATACATCTGCGTAAGCCACTGACAACGACTTTGAGCCATGTCACCTATTGTCTCCAGCCATTGATTATTTGAGTCTCGAGGGCCCCAACCCGGAAGTCTGCATTTCCCTATCTGACTCAGTTTAACTGTCAAGAATTTCATGGATTGATGCCATGTTTTCGTTTGGCCACCAGTTACTCTTTTCCAATCTGCACCTATATCAGCTAGTAATGCCCGTCGGGAGAGGCGATAGTTAGTTTAAGCCAGCCACGTAGGGAGGTGTAGACTTCCAGGTTGGGATCCTCAGGATAGAAAAAGTCACTGACTGGAGACAGTTGATGATATGGCTCAAAATCGTTCTCAATAGCTGGCGCAGATACATCCACTGCTTGTGACTTATAATACCCAATGAAACTATATTGTTCTTCGATATTACTATTCTTTTCGCCTCATATCTCTTTTTAATGTCTCCATTTTCCATTTCTTTTTACTTTCTTCTCTTTCTTTGTGTGATACATAGAGTGTGGCGACTCGAACTGCTGCACATCGGTGCAAAGTTCTACGTTGAAACCAGTCAGTCAGTCATTGTTTGAAGTAATTTTATTCACAACTCCACCTTGTGTCACTTCAGCAAAATTGAAGAAGAGGTCACATCAGACCTAATTCTGGCATGGCTAAATAGAAAAATCTTAACCAAACACTATGCAACATAAATCCCTGTGTTGTGGGATGAAATGACAGAACAGAGCTGACATATATCAACTTTTTAGTCATTCATTCTTACGGCCACTCATGACCTATCCCCTATGTTAACAGTGTATTATTTAGTGTTCTTGTGGCTATTCCAATTGAGGGACACTTGTATAATGAGCAAGCATCTATTGCAAGGTAAAAAAGTTGCGAGTTTTGTACTCTACATCAGAAATATTATTTTCTCATTTATTGGTGTTCATTTTTGACATTCTACAGTACTACATACTACTTATAATAGTAGGTAAAATTTGTAAAAACAAACTAATCATATAAGAGGTCAGAGACAGAAAGCTGCTGAGTTGAAAAGTATTTAACAAGCGATAAAAAACACAAATGAACATCACAGTGTTCCTTGAAACATAAAAGTTAATATTATTTGAAGAATTTGGAATGAATTCAAAGACTTGGTAGTCTGCTGATGTTCTCTCCAACAGTCCTAAATCATCACTGGAACACTCACTTGGAATATACTGTACATTGAGAGAAGTCAGTGTATCAGTCATATCAGATAACACCATGTGAGTCCACCTATATTCGATTATGTCATCAGAAGTACCTGAAAACTGATCCTATTCACTGAAAGCCTGTTGTGTAGCAATGGTTTCAAAGATAAACATTTTAAATGTCATGTTAACGGTAACTCAGGGGATTACCATCCTCAGCAGTCACAGTACGTTTCGATCCTTAGTCAAGGAAACAGTGCCTACAATTATATTCTGATTGATTGATTGATTGAATTTCAACACAGAACTTTGCACGGAAATGTTTGAGAGGTTTGAGAGGCCATTCTCCTTGTAGAACACAAATGTATAGAACGAGAATCAAAAATTATTTCAATGGGCAGAAATTTGTGGATTTCATCGGTATCAAAGACTACAAAGAGTAAATTCACCCGTAGCAATGAAAATTACTTTGAGACATATCACCAGTAGCCTCCATACACTGATTCCTTACATCCTCGTTACCCCAATCGGGCTGTCTACACTTCCCTAAATGGCTGATTACACCCAACTGTCAATGACTGCAGGAAATGAATACATGATAAACTTTTCCCACACCTAACGAGGATGTCAAATCGAGAATCGGGAAGGCGAGAAACACATTCATCAACCTGAAACCAATCTGGAAATCTTCCGCTGTCACTCCTCAACATCAACAACAAAATTCGGATTTTCAATACAAACATGACAAGTCAGTCAGTTCTTCTATACGGATGGATCAGAAACTTGACGGCGGGTCACAAAGAATGAGTATTTCCAACAGCCTGTTGCAGACCTTTATCAACAACTAACTGTCTTCGCTGGCTCTATACTGAAGATCAGATAGGCGGGAAGAACAAAAACCAACAAGAAACAAACTATGGGAAGAAACAAAAGAAACAAGAAGCAATCGGCCAACAAATATGCAGGAGAAAGTGGAGATGGATTGGACACTCACTCGCTGAGGAGGCCACTCGCTGGGTGACATCGCGCGTCAGGTCAACGCTCGAGTGGAACCCGAAAGGGAAGCGGCGAGTGGGACGTCAGTGCAAGGGTAACGTGGAGGAGATGGTGTGAAGAGGAGTTGAAACAGTATGGACTAACATGGATGCAAGTGAAAAGTACAGCAGAAGACAGGAACAAGTGGGGAAGTGTATTTGAAGCCCTATGTTCCACTAGTAACCCAAGGGAACTATAAATAAATAATTAGTAAGAATCGCAAATAAAATCCACCATTTCAATAATCGAAAAGGTTTTAAATCATCAATGAACCGTACACATTTACCCTCTCTCACTCATTCACTCACTCACTCACCTGACTGTCCGATTGAACTCGGTTGGATAGTAGGAATACTATTCCAACACGCATGAATACATTTAAAATTATGTTCAATAAATTATATGGATTGAAATATGAAATTCGCATTTCCATTATCAATATATTAAATCACGAAGAAGAACAGAATTATATGAATGTTTGTTGTGTGGTATGGTGATTTTTCGAAAGGGTCAAAAGCGAAATAGGAAGTATTTCTTCTCTACAAGATGATTAATTTATAGGAACTGTAGAATTCTGTGTGGTTTGTGTAATGCTTTGTAGACGAAACATCACAACAGTAATGTTTCAGTAATCTGTCCGTACGTTGTCAAGGCATTCATTTTTATCCAAAGCAATTAAGCAATGATGTTGTGAACGAGATAAAGTAATAATAATAATTGACTGTGGTGAGGCAAGTGATGCTGTTGTAATGTATTGATTAGGAATAGTAGAATTGTCCTAATGTAAACACTACTAGTAGCACTATGTAGAGAACTAATCCAAACATTGTTCAGCTGTTTTGGACAGGATATATATTTCTGTATTTATATATGTTAACAGTTTCTCACATTAAAGCCAGTAAAATAATAATGATAATAATAATAATAATTACGAATGAACTGCACTGATTATTCGTTATTCTCTAAATAGATACACACTCTCATTTAAATGTGTGTGCAAGTTTTATTTGTATGTGTGCTAACTATGGTTTTTCGGCATATTCGATTGAGTGTGTGTGGTGCGTGTGTATGTAGTGCGTTCCTCCTATGTGTCTGTCTGTCTATCTATCTATGCGTGTCAATCTGCATTTTATCTGATTTGTGATTAATTAGAGTTATTAACAATTCATTGATTTTACACTACACTAAATGCCTGTGTGTGCAGATGGTGGGTGACATGCCGTGGGTGTATGCATGAGTGAGTGAGTGAGTGAGTGATGACTGTCAGCGGTGAACTTTCGACAACTAACTACTACTGTGTTTCTTATTCACACACTACTCCGCGTTCATTTAATTAATATTAAACTGCCAACTAAAACGGAATAACAAACTTGGTTGGTTTCACCCGATTGTAGTCACAGTCGCAGTAGTAAACTGTTACACATTGTAACAATAATAATAAAAATAATCTCGGCTAGGATAAACAAACTCTATTAGTTAGTTTTAACATGGTGCCATACTTACTCATTTTTATAAAACAAACAATTTCTATTGAAAAAAAACGTGTCTGTAATTATTTATGCATGTAACTGTTTTCATGACCTTGACTGAAAGGTCATACATGCTGTTATATCATTTCTACAATAAATAACTAACTCATTTTATAAATCGAAAATGTGACAATATTATGTAATTATGCTAAACACAAGTCTATAGACTAAGAGCTGCTTTTATTTTAAGCATAGATTTTGTCACTCCACTTTCAGACTCTTTGTCAGTAGTGTCTGCGAAGTGGTTAAATCGAGGAATTTCAGGTTACGTGACTATCCCACTGACATTCAGGCATTAAGTTTGTCAAAATCAAATTAACGTTGAATTCTGTCTAACCTCCATCGGCCATCACATAGTGGATTTTCCATCCATAATGATTAGTGAGTATCTGTCCACATTTCTGATTTGGTAGACTCCACTACTCACTAATTCCAATTAGAACTCAACGAAGTCCATTTTGCCGTTATAAAAATCATTCGGTATACTTCATGATTAACTGTGGGGGGAGGTAGGAACTGAACAGTTGTCTCCAACTAATAATTATTATTATTTCCTTCAATTCCTAGAGGAACATATGGCTTCAGCCGTGCGTCTCCATTGCGTTCGGTTCTCTGCTAGAGTCTTCACCTGCCTCCAAGTCTGAACACATGCTTTCATCTCCTCTTCACATGACCTCCTCCAAGTCACCCACCCTCGAACTGACGATCAACTCGCCGCTTCCCTTCTATTCGGGGGCCACTCGAGCAATGGCTTGTCTAGTGATGTCACTCAATTGATGGTTTTTTCATCAGAATATGGCCAGCCAATCCATCTCCGTTTCTTCCTGCCTATTTGTTTCACAATCGGTTCCTGCTGAGTTGATTCGCTCATTGCCAGAGATCTCTGTTGCTGATCTTTTCTGGCCGGCCATCTGATCTTGAGTGGTATTGAGCGAAGACAACTGTTAATGAAGGTCTGTAGTTTGTTTGAGATGCTCTTTATGACGCGCGCAAGTCTCTGATCCATCCGTATAGTGAGTAGCACTGACTGAATTCACATTGGAGTTGAAAATCCGGATCTTATCTTCGTTTTCATGCTGGGTAGGGCTGTTGACCTCCACACAGACTTGAGAGTAGTGAAAGCTTGTCTTGCTTTTCCGATCCTCGCTGTTTTGATATCCTCGTCAGTTCTGTGCGCCTGTAGTTGAAACGATGCTTCCCAGGTCGGTAGGTAAAGGAGGTTGTTTCTTTCAGGTTCCTCCCATTTATGCTGGCTGATTGTTGTCTGTTGTTGTTGTTGTTGCTGTTGGTGGTGTTGGCCAGGAATCTTCATCACCTCTGTTTTCTCTATGTTCACCTGAAGGAAGTCCTATCTTCTCCGGATGCTTCTTGTGCCAACTTGTTGCTTTTTGCTTGCATATCTTCCAGTTTGTGGGAACTCAGACATATACATGTCATCGGCGAAGTTCAGATCCTCCAAGTTCTTTTTTGTGTGAGTCCATTTTATGCCTGTTTCCTCATTGCCCGCCGCTGTTTGTCGCATTATCCAATCTACTGCAATCAGGAAAATCATTGGCGATAGTAGGCAGCCAGCTTGTCTTACTCCTGTCCTCACTTCGAAGGATTCCGTGAGTTTCCCGTTGTGGATTACTTGGCATGCAGCATTGTCGTGAGATGTATAATTGTCGGTGGCACCGCGCAGTAGCGAAGTAGTTGCTTAATCACCTCTCGATCGTCGCTGCGCTATCGAAGGCCTTTTCAAAGTCGATGAATCTGAGATAGAGATGTGACTGCCATTTCAAGCTTTGTTCAATGATGATCGGTAATGTGGCGATCTGATCAATGCATGACTTGTTCTCCATGAATCCAACTTGTTCCGGTCGAAGTTTTTCATCCAGGGCTTGTTTGATTCTCTCCAGGATGATGTGGCTTAGTATTTTGCTTGGGATGGGCAGGAGCACAATTCCGCGCCAGTTCTTGCATATTTAAGTCTCCTTTCTTTGGTAGCCTTTCTTCCAATCCTCGGGTACTTTGCCTTCTTTCCACACCTTCTCCAGTAGTGGCGTCATCAAGTCCGCTGTTGTCTCTGGGTCCATTTTCAATGCTTCAACTTAGTCTGGCACATTTTATTAATGTATGGTGACGACTCCACTGTGGATCGAATCCTCGATCATCAAAACTTCTAGAGGAAATCCAACTCAACTTATAATGACTTACGCCACTCATATGTCTTCAAGAACACAACAGTCAGCGATGAGATTCTTTTCAACAGATTTATTATCAATCTATACAAACGTTTATAGACAGATCTTCAGAAATTATATCCCCTTAGGAAATTTAAACAAAGCTGTGCATACATAAGATCATAATAGTAGTAGTAGTAGTATGAAATACAATTAAATGTTTGTGAATACGATAGTAGTTAAATATCAGAACTTTCCTTCCTTTAAGCAACACTAGCAGAAAACAGTTACCCAAACCGAATTATTGACAAATACACAAGAGATAAGCAGTCCGAACTGGTCATCAACTCAATTCCAAATAAAACCATCTTCATGAATTTGGTATTCAAAAGTGATTAGGCTTCAAATATACTCGAGAATCATCTCTCTAAATCAGCCAGTAAGATGTCCTTTGCTGCAAAACTACAAATGACTTTCACCAGCAGCAAGTTGTTCTCCATCTCTGTAAAATATAAGCTTCCTCGTCTATCCATCTCCATGTGCATCTTTAAGTTCACCTGCTCTTGCGGCGTAGGATATATTGGCTGTAGCCAGAGAACGATTTCCACACGGATGCGAGAATATATATTCCAGCATTATTCTATGAAGAAGAAGAAAGGAAGGGTGTGTGAAGCTCTATTCTAGAACACTTAATCGACTTGTATTCATCTACCAACTGTGATCATGACTTTAAGATCATCTGTCGAATTCATGTTAACTTGCTGCATTTTCTTCTTCGCAAACGTCTAAAGACAGCGGAGGCCATGATTATTCATCCATGGATTTACGCCAGTTCTTTTCGTACTAAAGAAGTACAAACAGTCCATATTCCTACCTTAGTCGTAGAGGGATAAACACTTGTTTATTGAATTTTTGCTTTGTTTATTGAATCTGTGTACTTTTCGCTTATCACTGTGATTGTTATTAATTCTGTTTTCGCAAGTATTGGTTTTGTAGGGATTTGGTTTGATTGCATGGAGGATTTCATCATGAGCTGACATCAGTTAGAGAACCACTGGAAAACCAGCTGGGAGTACTGGACAGCTGGTTTTCCAGTGGTTCTCTAACTGATGTCAGCTCATGATGAAATCCTCCATGCAATTCTGTTTTCATTTTGAACAGTTTCCGGTATTGTCTCACTTGTCTCATTTATTATTTTGGCTATGTCAAGTTCTGTCTTGTCAAATTTCCAACCATATTAAACACTTTAATGGCAATAACTTCACATCTCTTTCCACAATGTAAACATTCTACGGACTATTTTATCTATGATATTATTTGTTTCATCCCTTGATAGTGAAACATGATAACAGCTATAAATATTTTATCGCATCTCCCATTATTTTTGTAAGTATTCACACCTTTGTTCGAATCCCCTCATAAAACATAGTTACTTAAAAATTATATATATATATATATCCTATAGTTTGGTTTGTAAGGGTTTGTTATGCTTTTACGAGTTGATCACGGACTGGTATCAGTTAGAGAACCATTGAAAACCAGGGAGTGTTGAAACCAGGAAAGCAGCTTTCACTAACACTCTTGACACTAGAAAGCTTGGCATTTGTGGGAGAATGTGTGAAATACTTGTTTAAGGTACGCACATCAAATGAATAAGGAATACTGTTTATCTGCTTACCACCATTAATTTCTTTGAAAAGTTTCCATATATTAGAGGCGTTATTACAGGATATAAACTTCTGGTTATATATTGAATTCAACCTCTTCAGTTGAGACTTGATTAGGATGTTAATTCTGTTCAAACCAATGTTATCCTTCACTTTATTTAATTTTTTTCCCTACGAAGCTTTTTAAGTTGAGGGGAGAGGAAAGGCAGAAAGGGTTAAATCTGACAAAAAGTTTTTCTCCGGGACAACAGATATTAAGACAGAATTTGAGATAACATGTAATATTTGAGATAGTGTCATCAAGAGAGTCTTCATTAAGTAAGTCTCACTTTGTGTCTTTGAACATGCTTCTAAGGTTCTGAACATTCTCCTTAGAGTAATATATCTACACACTTTTCTTGGACAGATATGAGAAGGCTCTCTTGTGTACTTTTCTATTAATTTTGGGTAAAGCCCGTACACATGCAGTGATCAGAGTTAAACAATGGGGCTCTTTTACGAGTGAAGTATCCAATAGAGTGGGAAATTTAACGACATTTTCATGACCTAGAAATGTAAGAAAACGGCAGTCACAAGAATTGAAAATGCCAGTCACTGTAGACAATGAGTTACCAAAAGTACCGGCAGCAGAAATAGTGAATTCATCGGCAAACATGGATAGTTCTGAGGTACTACAAAAAGGTGTGACATAAATGTTCGTGATAAAAATGAAGTTGTACTTAGACCGGTGTTTAGGTCGACATTTAACAGTTATACATTCAATGTTATCATCTGAGAATTTAAAGCATATTTTTTTCGGTATTTGACCACTGATAATTAATAAAAGTGGAGACACCACCACTTCGTTCTCCCTTAAACTGCATCAGTCTTGTCCCTACAGAGTGAAACCATTTAGGGAGACTAGATTATAATCATATGAATTGTGGAGCCAGGTTTGCTGAAGCGTTGTTACACCTGTATTACA